AATGTATACAATTTGTTCGGCAGTGAGAAATTCAATAACACATTTCTCTTTCATACACACTTCTATGTCAGACGCCATTTTGGTAGACTGCTCTGCTGTCGCTATCTGTCGCACGACAACCAAATTAACAGTACATTGGTGGGAAGGTTCAGCCTTTACTACAACACCACCAACATCCAGCTCAGACGTTACATATTAACACAAAAAATAGGCATTATATATGGAACGCACCACGTATATATATTGAATTGATATGCTTCTGTAATAGGATATCTGGTGGCCATGTCAGTACTTCAGGATCTTATTCCTTAGGCTATTCCCAGTCCAAAATATCACAAACATGGGTCTAATTCCCAGTGTAATTATGGAGCTATGCTTATTTGAAATTCAAAGTGATTTGAACAGTCATGTAAGCTACATTAAAAGAAGACTTATGCACAGTTCTATGTAATAAATGTTGAAAATGGCCATCTTCTATGTGAGTGAACATTCCTACTTGTTTGTCTGTGGAACGTGTAACCTTAGGTAGAACATGAGATTTATGTGCGTGTCTTGGAGCATCATAAATTTGATGAGAAGTTCTTTGGTTTTTCAGTTCATTTTGCATTCATACATTACATTTTTCATGTAGTTCCGTACATGGAGATCTGCTGGAGTGAGGTCCGTGGTCGCAAATTTTGTGGACCACCATGGTCAAACCATTGGTCAGGGAAGTACTCACTCATGTACGGAGTCAAGTGTCTACTGAAATGTTGGGATGTTCCGTCATGTTGGAAGTAAATCTGTAATCTTGTACACAAAAAATATCATGTAAGAGTGTTGGCAATTCATTTTGAAAAAAGATAGCATACAAGTAATTGTTGTGTTAGTTCCTATAATGTGCTGAGGAGAATATTTGGACCAAAGAGAGATGAAGTGACAGGAGGTTGGAGAAAACTGCATAATGAGGAGCTTCATAACTTGTACTCTTCTCCAAGTATAATTAGAATGATCAAGTGAATGAGGATGAGGTGGGCAGAGCATATAGCATGAATGGGGGAGGCGAGGAATGTGTATAGGATATTAGTGGGAAAGCCAGAAGGAAAGAGACCACTGGGAAGACCAAGGCGTAGGT